ACAGATTATTAAAGAAACTTTACACAAGGTAACAAAAATAATACTTCAGAGGCAATTTAAAATAAATGAATATGAACTGAAATTAGCAAACATGACTTGTGAAGGAATAAATCCTCAAATTTCCAGCTCAACACACTGCAGAAATCATAGCAGTGTAGCTGACATTCAAATAAAAAGACACGAGAGGATGCTAAAACATATCCAACCATGATAAATGATGGATGTGGACTTATTTCTGTTTTCCAAAACTCACTTATAGTGACTGAAAGCATAAACAAAGACATTGTAGTGCACAAAGAGTTCTGTAGCAGTCTCTGGTGGAACAGCACAACTAGCCATTGGAAAGGACACAAAGCTGGTGAAGATAGTCACCATGTGTCTGTAGTTAAAGTGTAGTTCTTCATCGTCAAGAGAAGTTGAGAGATAAAAAAAAAAAAAAACGAGGGATCTTCTCTTAAGTACAGAATATCTGTTGATGCAATCGTGCAGCAGTTGTTGCGCATCTCAAACAATGGCACATGCTGTTTGGCAGGAGTCTGACTAGAAAGTCATTAAGACACAGACAAATCCTTGTTTTACAGTCTCGCGATCCTCAGAGCAAGAGTGAAGTAAACCCAGAGATATTTGTGGGTCCAAAGGCCTGCTCTTCATCCTTTGAGCACCGCTAGCACTGAAAGAGTTTCCCCTTTTATTTAAACATGCATAACCTTTAATGGTCCTTAGGTTACTTTGAGTGTGGATCACACACACTCGTACACACTAGGGTGACCAGACAACTACAATAACAATATAGGGATACATGCTCGTGAATACAGTATAAGCACATTTTGGTCTGATTTGATACTTGTTTTAACTCAAAAGGGTCTAAAAACAGATGTAAATTTAATAAACACGGTTATATAAAAAGGTTTGGATATATTTGATCTTTTGGTCACACTACAATGAGTCAAACTTAAATGTTAACTCTCATGGTGTAAATAAAATTTAGCTTAATTAGCTTAAGATTTCTCCATTTAATGTTTTACGATGACTTGTAAAAATGGCAGCCAATAAATATACTTCCTATACTTCCAATTTGTAAATAAATGTTTTGTTATTTGTACAATTATTTGCACAAAACTTCTCAATATTGTGAGGACAATGGAACAACTTCTATTAGTGGGTTGAAGCAGGGTTGTAATTGCTATTGTTAAAACTTTTAAATATCTTTTTTGGTTTGAAAGTTTAAAATTTAAAAATATGAGAAGAAAAACTAAAGAATTTGAGAGAAAATGAGAAATGTTGCCTTGTTATTAATTGAAATAAAACATGTAAAAATTTAAGAACTAAAAACATTAAAACTAGAACACAAATAAACAGAAATATATTCAAATAATAAAAAAAAAATGAAAAAGCAAATAACAAAATTACTTAAACTGAAATTAAAATGAAATCAAGGCTAAATGCTACTTGAAAATATTACTAAAACCAATATAGTGCTGCTTGTTTCTAATGATAGAAACAGATGTTTAACTAAAGCTAATACTAATTATTAGGAAAAAATGTCATCTTAAATATAACTTTGTCGAGATGTAGGACTCATCGAATCAGGACTATCTGGTCACCCAAACACAGACACACACACACACACACACACACACACAAAGGTAAAATGCTTATCAAACTTCCTGGCATTTTTATAATGCCCATCCATGTATTCAGGCAAAGAATGGCATGGCAGATAGTCCGGGTGGGCTTTTGGTATTGTGGGTCCACTGGAGTCTTCACGCTCTAGCAGGCTCTATTCCAGACTCCTGTTGCTAAGCGACATGACCCGGAGAATCCAAAGAGGTGCCTGCTGCGGCCCACCGGTCACTGAAATCTTTCAGCTAAATGAGAGCTGATCAGGTCTTGCTAAACTCAAGGTCTCTGTAATCAGGTGGACCTCCATGTCACTGTGCATCTGTGTGAACGGGCACACGTGTTGACACTGACTGAATATGTGATGACTGAATGTGTGGAGGAGAGAAGGGATAGAAAGAGAGACAAGGGAAAAATCTAATTTGAATCATTTCCCAGGACTGGGCTGAATTCAGTGTTCTGGCATACGAGACGTGGCCGATCATGTGACTAGGACTCCTAAAGGACCTACTTCTACCTTAGACCACTTCAGCTGCTCATGCAAACACAATGCATAGCCCTTTATTACAATATCAGATCACAATTGGGTGGAATTAAAATAATAGTTTATCCAGAAATTAAACATTTGTCATTATTTACTTATCGTCATGTTGCACACTTGCCGTGGAATATGAAAGAATAATTTTGGAATCTTAATGCAGCTATTTTTTCATACAACAGTCTGTCAAGCTCCAAACCTCATAAAAGTGGTCCATATAACTTATTTGAAATCTTCTGAATTGAAACGATAGCCATATCGAGCAAAACTGAAATAATTTCATTATTCACCTATAATCTTCCACTCCAGTGAACCGTTAAATCGAGAACCATGGGAAAGTGAATGAATGAATCATGGATCAGTAGTCATTCAGTTAGAACTCAAGAACTGATTTGTGAATCAGATCAAACGGTTCAATTAAAAGAACAGGTTCAAAAGATGAACGATTCGATTCGTTCATGTATCAAAATGAACAAGTTCAACTCGCTGATTCAATCCAGTCACAGGAGTTCTCAAGATAAAAGCTCACTGGAGCGGAAGATTATCACTGAATAATGACTTACATTTCAGTCTATAGACATTAGTCAGACTAGACCATATTGAATTTAACATGGATGAAAACGAGGCTGTGAGGTATATACAGTAGTCTTTACAATGGCATGTATACATTTTCATAATCATTTTCACAACTCACAACTTTAAAACAGTTTTATAGAGTTTTTGTCTACTGAAAGCTTTTCAGAAAGACGTTTTGTCAGTTGAACAATCGGTATGATGTTAAACAACAGTACAATCCATTGAACGCACTGTACCTCTATCCCTCACAACCTTGCTTTCATTCCTGTCAAAGATTAAATGTAGTGCTACTCTGACTAAGGTCTATGCCTCACATGGCTTCAAAAGATTAGAAAAATACCATATGGACTATTTTAATTATGCTTTTAAAGGGATAGTTCACCGATAACTGAAAATTCTGTCATCATTTAGTCACCCTCAAGTTGTTCCAAACCTGTACAAACTACTTTCTTCTGTTGAACACAAAAGAAGATATTTTGAAGAATGTTGTTAACCAAACAGTCGACGGTAGCTACTGACTTCCATACCATGGAAAATATACTATGGAAGTCAATGGCTACCGTCAACTGTTTGGTTGTGAACATTCTTCAAAATATCTTCTTTTGTGTTTAACAGAAGAAAAGTACCTCATACGGGTTTGGAACAACTTGAAAATTAGGCTGATGATACACAGGGCAACTTTTTGAGCAATGTTGCCGTCAATGAGCAACCAGGTGAGACACAGGGCCCACGACCAATCTAAGATATCCAGATAAAAATGTGTTACCCATTCTCAAGTAACATTGCTCAAAAAAAGTTGCCTGGCAAAATTGATCAAAAAGTTGCCCCATGTATCATTAGCCTTAGTAAATGATGACAGAATGTTCATTTTTGGGTGAAATATACCTTTAAGGGCTTTATGGATGTGGTCAAGATTCATTAAAGTTCTGCCTCTTTGCTCCACTGAAAAAATAACAGCAAAAGGTTTGAAGTGACATGATATAGTGACAGAATTACACGTTTTTTCTTTTTTTTAGGATCAACTAACCGTTCATTGAAAAAAAAATCAGTAGAAAATTATGAGGGCTAAAGGCATTGTGGGTGAACAAGGAACACAAGCAGAGAGAGTGAAGTGGCGGGATGCATGATCAGATGTTGGTTAAAGTGGTGCAGGTGATCAGGCGCACAGTCAGTGTGCCTGGAAGGTTGTTGTCTTGACGACCACCCTTGTCTTTAAGGTAGACCGTGTGCTGCTCTTGGCGGTCGTTAGGGTCACTAAAGAGGGTCACCTGACCCAGGAAGGTGTCAACAATCACATTCTTATTGTAGATCTGAGTTCGTCATGGAGCAGTCAGAAGGGTTAAGCAGGAGAAATAGAGAAGAAAAACAGAAATAAGGTGAGAGGAACAGATCAGTGTACATACCAGTACAGGGAAGGAGATCTGTAGCAGTTTGTGGAAAGGACTGAAGGAGGAAGAGATGTAATTACATACTTCCAACTCACCTCGATGTGAATGCCTTCCTTTGGCTTTCTGCGGTAGAATATTCCTTTAACGTCAAAACTGGGGCAGCGTGTGTCTTTGTGCACGGGGGAGCGAACCTTCTCCCCCTCACAGGTGATGATCACATATGGGTCAGAGGCTAAAGAAAAAAGACATGAGACAGCAACACACTTTATATGATAGCGTTCAAAGCATGGATATGCTATCTCTACCAATGACACACTGCAAAAATATTTTCGTAATCAGTAATTTTGCTATCTAGTAAAAAAAAAAATTAAACAACTTTTAACAAGATATTTCTATTTGACGTAAGAGTGTTATTCTTTATTCTTATGCTCACCAAGGCTGCATTTATTTGATCAAAAACACTGTAAAACAGTAATATTGTTAAATATTATTACAATTTTTCTATTTGAATATATTTTAAAATGTAATTTATTTCTGTTATGGCAAAGCTGAATTTTCAGCAGGCAGGCATTACTCCAGTCTTCAGTGTCACATGATCCTAGGGATGTAACGATTACCGGTTTGACGATAAATCATGATCAGGGCGGAAAAGCTGGGAGGATTTAAAAGAGTGCTAAGGGAATTATACAAATGAATATATGAATTAATTAATTATATGAATGCACCTCTGAAGGTTCTGACTGTCTTTAGAAACGATTCGATGGCATTTTGTTTTCATCTTCGCTCCATGTATTACCTAAAGGAAGTTATCTTAATCGCAATACTGCTCTGTCCACGGAGTTCACGGGAAACAGCTCTAATTCAGTTGTAGAATTATTTATGGATCAGATAAAATACATATAATCATTTATTAATTAATTATAATTTCGACATATCTTTATTCTTTATTTAAAGGCTGAAATGTGAGGTTTATCTTTTTATTAAACTTTTTCAAAGCTTTATTTGAACATTTACATTAGATATTTCAACATGCTATTAAACTGTTGTCAGTCAAGTTGTCATTTAAAATCCGAACATCATTGGTAATGTTATTGTTTTAGTGATTATGCAAACAAAAATCATTTTATTTGTTGTTTGTTGATTTTTAAATATAAAACTTGGTGAAGTGATTTATGTGTCGGTACTTTTTTAACATATCCAGCACATTTTAACAATAGCGTGATAATACTGATAACCGTGATAATTTTAGTCACTATAATCGTGATAAGAAATTTTCATACCGTTACATCCCTACATGATCCTTCAGAAAGTATTCTAATAGGCTGATTTGGTGCTCGAGAAACTTTTTTTTTTTTAATTATCAATGTTGAAAGCAGTTGTGATGCTTAATATTTTTGTGGAAACTGAGATACATTTTTCAGAATTATTTGATGAATTGAAAGTAAAAAAAACAGCAGTTAAATGAAATCTTTTGTAACATTATAAATATAATTACCGCCACTTTTAATCAATAATGCACCCTCGCTGAATAAAAAAGTCTTTTGACCCCAAACTTTTGAACAGTAGTGTATATATATTTATATTTGATATATATTCACTGAAAACAATTCTAGAATAAATGTCTTGTTCGACAGATGATTAATGACAAAAATGCTTTTTGTAGTGCACCATAAAGAAACAAATACAATGCAAATGCACTGAAATAGTCAAAGTGGAAATAAAAAATAGCTTGCACTGAACCTGAGTTCAGTTTCACCCAGTTCTCCCATCATTACTGTGTTTACATCACCACTGTGAATAGCACCTGTTTACCACTGAGGCTAAGCAACAACTCGGGTGGAGAAAACACCAGTTTTCTTTGAACAACCAAACAAACTAAACTCTGATTTCAAACCAACACCTTTCATTCATCATCATCATCAAAAAAACAAAACAAAACAAAAAAACAACTAACCTCCATAAAACTCCCTGCATTCATTTATTCTTTCACTTAACATGTCATTAGAGACTCACTGTCATATCTTTGGAATTGTTGTGGATTTTATCTTGGTAGACTATCTTTGCATGTTTTGTTATTTGTGATTTGTACACTTTATCATAATTCACTTTGGTAAGAAAGTGCCACTAAGTACATGAATGCAAATCTAAAACCAGAGTACTGAGGTGTAACAAAGGACACAAACTGACACTAGAGAATTAAAGACACTGGAGCACTAAGTAATGCTAGTCACACCAAAAACATGTATTTAAAAAAAAACAAATAAACAAGATACAGTGTGGCAGATTTGGACACATTTCAGAATTCAGATTAATCTTATCACATGCTCACATTTCTATAAGGGGAGGGAGATACATTTAGATGCTAAGCAGCAGCTAAAAGTCAGTACCTCCAGTGCAGAAGTCAGAGCGTGTCTTGTGGGAGATCAAGCACTGTAGCTCTGTGTGCGGTCAAAAGAGATTTCTGTATGTAAAAACTCTAGACTTATTAAGCAGCATAAGTGTCTGAATCTATAATGGCTTAAAGGAATAATTCACCCAAAAGTCATTTACTGCACCGAATGATGACAAAAAAACCTGCATTTTTGGGTGAACTATCTTTAAAAAATGTACATGACTGCAAATATAGAGCACTGATTTCTGGGTCTACGGGGAGAAATCAACTGCACATTGTTATTAGTATAATCACATCCAGAAGAAAGAATATTTTTTAAAAGGATAAATCATAAATGAAACTTTTATCAAGGTAAATAAAAAGTGCTGATCTTCAGCTATTGGATTTTGTCCCTCTAAACACACTGCAATATATCTGTTATATATAGAAATACTAGACATACCTCCATTGGCATCTTGGCCCTGCAGGCCTTCGGCACTTAACACATGCACCTGGGTGACCAGCTGAGGGTAACCGCACATCCCAGTCCAGCATGTCTGTGGAGGCTCGTCCAGAGTTAATTCTCTAAGGAAACACACGCAGGAACAATATCAGCAAGGTTGTTAATGTTAACAAAATTTAAATCTAAAACGACTAAAAATCAATTTGGTTGATTTTGAACCAAAATAAAGCTAAAATATACAAATAAAATAGTAACATTACATGAAAAACTTAAAAACTTAAACTTATGTTGACTTGACAACAAACACACTGCAAATAATATGTTCTTAATCAGAAATCTTTTTTATCTAGTATAAAACATTTTTTTATTTGAGAAGCAAAATTGCATGGCATATTAAGAATATTATTCTTAAAAAGACTATAAGAAGGCATTATTGTTTAAAAGTCTGGGGTTGTTCAGATTTTCCTATGTTTTTGAAAGAAGTCTCCTATGCTCACCAAGGATGTATTTATTTGATAAAAAAATACAATAAAAATAGTAATCTTGTGAAATATTGTGATTTAAAATAACATGTTTCTATTTGATTATATTTAAAAGTTTAATTTATTCCTGTCATGGCAAATATGAATTTTCAGCCATTACATTACAGTCAAATATTAAATAAAATATCAATTTTAGAAGAAAAATGTAAAAGCTTAAACTTAAAAAAATTAAAACTTGATCTGAAATGAATATGAAGCTACATGGAAAAAAATAATAAAAATAAATAAAAATGTCCAAATAACTAAATTACTTGAACTAAAATCAAAATTGAACAAAAATAAAAGCTAATTCAAATTATTAATAAATACTATAATAGTATACAAGGTAACACTTTAGATTATATTCACTATTAACAAGGACATTTTTCCATCAATAAACTCCTAATTTGCTGCTTTTTGATAGTACGTAAGGTAGTTGTTGTAGTAGTTCCCTTTCTGTTGTTCACTCCGACCTTGTGTCGAGTGTACGACACTAGGGGTCGCTCTTGGGAGCCCAAACACCTCTGACATCTTTGAGAAAAGGCCAATGAAATTGGGTGTGCAGAATTTGCATAGCTGGCCATGCCCCGGACATCCGGGTATAAATAGGCCAGTGTGGCATCTGCTCACTCGTTCTGTTTTTCAGAGCCGAATGCAGCGTCTCTCACGGAGAAGTTGCGATCATTCACCTCTCGATTCCTTGTCGTTGGATCTAAGGCACGGTCAGAGGTCTCTCCCTACTTATACACAGATAAGTGTTGTGAGAGTACCCCTGGGTGCTTCAACGGCGATCTCTAGAAGAGCAAATTTCCTCTAAAAGAGTACAATTTCTCTGAAAGAGCTACACAGGTGGAATTGTGCGTTTCATCATGCCTTTCCGTCCGTGTGTTTCTGGTTGTGGTTGGCACATCTCGAAAGACGACCGGCACGAGTGTTATATTCAGTGTTTGGGCCGTGCTCATGCTGAGGCAGCACTTGTGGATGGTTCGTGCCTTGCTTGCAAGGAACTTCCCAACGGCACGTTGTGCTCGTGGCTCGGGTTCTTCACGAGAAGGACTTACCGCTATGGTCCTTCTACCTCCGGGTATGAGGCCACAGCGATATGCACCGCGGCAATCCCCACAAGCTTCTCGTTTTTCCCTTGCCCAGGTGGAGAGAGCGATTGCGTTGGTCCAAGAACGCCACCTGTGGCTCAACCTGGCTGAGATGCGGAAAGCAGAGAAAGTACGCTTTCTTGATTCCCCCATTTCACAGGTTGGTCTCTTTGGCGACACTGTGGAAGAATTTACCTAGCAGTTCTCCACGGTGAAGAAGCAGATGGAGGCCATCAAACACTTCCTGCCTCGGCGTGGGTCAGGTCCTACTCTTGCACCCTCGAGTCAGCAGCCCCCATCTGCACGTCGCCGGGGACGGCCCCCTGCAAGGACTGCTGAGGCCTCGCAACAGCCTGGGCCTTCAGTCAAGCCTGACCAACGGCCCACCACTCGCAGGAAGGCTCGTCATCAGGGGACCAGGAACCCTTGCAAGGCTTCAAAGCGTTCCTGAGACAGGTGACCCAGGGAGGAGGGACCATCTGGCCAGCCTGAATCCAATTCTGATGGGGGGATGGGAGGTTGATTCGGCTCCACCACAGCTGTCTGCCACCTGGCAGACAGCCACCACCTGGTCAATAAAAGAGCAATTTCCTTCTTCTCTGGGTCACACACACAGCGTTTTTGGCCCTCCCATTTGCGACGGCCGGACGCTGAAACCATGCATTAGAACCTGTTTGGAAACAGACCTCCTCACATTCAGATGCAAAGGGTCTATCACTCAGCCAACACGACGCATGCTGGCGAACTCATGTTCCCTCATCTGTCGGTGGCACATGTGACAGACCCTGCGGACAAGGCGTGGTGTGTTTTACAGGACGTTTAACCTCCTACCACAGCGCCTTCCACTCCGCTCAGCCACAGGAACCCTGCCCGAGGTATGACAAACATGGTTCCTTTGAGACTGTTGGCAGGGTATCTGGATGCTTGGTTAAGCCTCTCCAATCCCTCCCGATGGCTCCTCAGAACCATTTGGCTCGGCTATGCGATTCAGTTCGCCAGGCGCCCGCCCAAGTTCAGGGGCATTCTGTTTACCTCAGTACGAGGTGAGAATGTGGCTGTTCTTCGGGCGGAAGTTGCAACCCTTCTCGAGAAGGGTGCAGTCGAGCCTGTCCCCCTGGCCGAAATGAAGAAGGGATTTTACAGCCCGTACTTCATTGTACCCAAGAAGGGCGGGGGGCTCAGACCAATCCTGGATTTGAGGACTCTGAACCGGGCCCTTCACAAGCTTCCGTTCAGAATGTTAACACTCAAGCACATATTAACATGTTTCAGAGATCAGGATTGGTTTGTGGCAATAGACCTGAAGGATGCATACTTTCATGTCTCAATCCTACCAAGGCACAGGCCGTTTCTTCGGTTTTCCTTCGAAGGACGGGCATATCAGTACAAAGTTCTTCCCTTCGGGCTGTCCCTGCCTCCTCGGGTCTTTACGAAGATCGCAGAGGCTGCCCTTGCTCCTCTCAGGGAAGTGGGCATTCGCATTCTAAATTACCTCGATGACTGGCTGATCCTAGCTCACTTGCGAGAATTGGTTTGCGCACACAGGGACATGGTCCTCGACCACCTAGCCCGATTGGGACTTTGGGTCAACTGGGAAAAGAGCAAACTCTCCCCTGTGCAGAGTATCTCTTTTCTCTGTATAGAATTGGACTCGGTTACGATGACTGCACACCTCTCTCAGGATCGTGCTCAGTCGGTGCTGAAATGCTTGAAGGCTCTCAAGCAGAGAACAGCGGTCCCTCTCAAAAACTTTCAGAGGCTCCTGGGGTATATGGACCTTGAGGAGGTTTCGACCCTTGATCCAAGGCAAGCACGTGTTGGTCTGGATGGACAACACAGCGACGGTTTCATACATCAACCACCAGGGTGGTGTTCGCTCCCATCGCATGTCACAACTCATCCCATCTCTTACTTTGGAGCCAGCACAGACTCAGGTCTCTGCATGTCACTCATATCCCGGGCGACCTCAATTGTGTAGCGGATCTCCTCTCGCGACAGGTCTCGCTCAGGGGCGAGTGGAGGCTTCACCCCCAAATGGTTCAGCTGATTTGGAGTCAGTTCGGCCAGGCACAGGTGGACCTGTTTGCTTCGTAGGAATCGATCCATTGCCAGTTGTGGTACTCCCTGACCGAGGCTCCCCTCGACACAGATGCACTGGCTCACAGCTGGCCCAGGGGCCTACTCAAGTATGCATTTCCCCCAGTGAGCCTCATTGCACAGACACTGTGCAAAGTCAGGGAAGATGGAGAACAGCTCCTGCTTGTGGCCCCTTATTGGCCCAACAGGACCTGGTTCTCGGAGCTCATGCTCATGGCATCAGTTCCTCCCTGGCGAATTCCCCTGAGGAAGGACCTCCTTTCTCAGGGGAAGGGCACAATTTGGCATCCGCGCCCGGATCTCTGGAACCTTCATTTTTGGTCCCTGGATACGACCAGGAAGAACCCAGAGACCTTTCACCAGCAGTGGTGAATGCCTTTTCGTGAATTGGTGTTCTTCCCAGGGGAAGGACCTTCGGAGATGTGGCATCGGATCTGTGCTCTCCTTCCTCCAAGGAGGCCTGGACAGGCACCTGTCTGCTTCTACACTTAAGGTGTACGTGGTCGCGATTGCGGCTAATCACGACACCGTGGGAGGCAGATCGGTGGGGAAGCACGATCTGGTTATTAGGTTCCTCAGAGACGCCCGGAGGCCACGTCTGATTCCCTCTTGGGATCTCACTGTGGTCTTGCAGGCTTTACAGAGAGATCCGTTTGAGCTTCTTCAGTCAGTTGAGTTCAGTGCCCTCTCTATGAAGACAGCCCTCCTGACTGCACTCACTTCTGTCAAGAGGGTGGGGGATCTTCAAGCCCTCTCCGTTAACGAATCATGCCTGGAGTTCGGGCCGGCAGACTCTCACGTTGTCCTGAGACCTCGGCCTGGATATGTGCCTAAGGTTCTCACCACTCCTTTCAGGGACCAGGTGGTAACATTGCAAGCTATCCCCTTCCAAGAAGGGGAGCTTGACCTGTCTCTGTTGTGCCCAATGCGAGCCCTACAAACATACCTAGATCGCACTCAGAGTTTCAGACGTTCTGAACAGCTCTTTATTTGCTTTGGAGGACAGCAGAAGGGGAATGCTGTCTCCAGACAAAGGATCTCCTACTGGATTGTGGATGTAATCCTAACGGCCTATCAGGCCAGAGGCCTACCTTGCTCACTGGGAGTGAGGATGATGGAGGGAACAGAGACGTTGTGTCCTTCATGCCACAACTCCGAATTGCCTCTGAGTGGGTTGAGACGCAATTTCCTTGACATTTTCTCAAAGATGTCAGAGGTGTTTGGGCTCCCAAGAGCGACCCCTAGTGTCGTACACTCGACACAACGTCTCCATTCCCTCCATCAGGGAACGTGGGTTACCATACGTAACCAAGACATTATGTTTAGGTATGGGGTAGGGTTATGGGATCTAGAATATAGTCATGCAGAATAAAGCATTAATATGTGCATGAATAATCAGCCAATATGCTAGTAATATGCATGCTAATAAGCAACAAGTGTGGTCTATACTTTTTTTGGAAGCTACTTTACTTGCAGTCTGAAGGCACATCAGTGAAGACTCTGAGCAGGAACTCTCCATGTTGACCTGGGTCAAAGGTTGTGGGGATGATGACGTAACGTCCCTCCTTTAGCTCTTTCCTCAGAAAGATGCAGCGAGAGTTGATGTAGATTGACCCTGCGACCTTCTGCTGAGCCGAGTGCATTCTGTATTTCCTATTCAACTCCACCTGGTGGTAGAAAAGTTGCTTGATCAAGACAGGAACATCGACTGACAGGATACCATACAGTACTTATATTTTTAGTTCTTATATCATTGGCTTTATCTGCAGGCAGATGTGAAGGTTTGTATTGTGTTGGAATGTAATTTTGTACCCTATGGATGTCAAATCCAATGGCCAGGTTCTCGCCTTTGCCCTCCTTTGGAGTAGCTCTGCGTTCCTTTTGCTGCAGGCAGATCAGCACCTCATCTTCCACTTTTCTCACATCAAAAACATACTGTGGGCGGAAACATACATTAAACTCAATCCAATGAATACCCAAAGCATCAAATGCCTCCAGGACAAGAACAACATTTTAAAAAGGCAGATGCACACAGGTACACTGACCTGTGGGTTTTGCAGAAACGTGGCTTTATGGTTAATGCAGCCTCCGGCGCGGTTGCGGAGCGGGTCATCTCGGTGGATCCAGGAGCCCCTCATCACCTCCTCCTCCCAGGTCTTATGAATGCTCAAGTAAGACGTGTTTATCAGTCGACACAGGATCAGGTCGGTGAAGTAGTGACAGAAATCCTCAAAGTTCATCCTGGTGAAGCAGTTTACAGCCAGTTGGGGAACAGAAGTTTATGATAAATGGAGAATTTAGGTGTTTATCAGATGCATTGGGGTACAATAGTATAAAACCTGGGATTTCAGTATAAAATCGGATTTAAATCTGGGATAAAATCTGATTTAAACACAGAAATAAAGGTTTTGAAGCAAAACAGGGTAACAACAAACACTAAGATGTTCAGTTGATCTGCTTTTTACAAAATTTTGAACGGTTCAATATGTTAACATTAGTCATTGCATTATATATCATGAACTAACAATGTGAAGTATTCTTTACAATATTTACTGTATTAATATAGCTTAATTTCCATATATACTAATACATTACTATCATTACAAGGTGTTTTAATTAACATTACTGTATTATATGCAAACATTAATTTACAATAGTACGTTTCTTAATTGACATTAACGTAGATTTACAAATGCTGTGTAAAAAAAAAAAAAAGTAAAAATGAACATATATTTACAAATAAATGAACATTAACTTAGATTAATAAATGCAAAAAATGTTTTCATTGTTAGTCCATCATATGTAATGGAGTAACTAATGTTAATGATTTTGGATTAATGTTTTAGATTAATGCAAATTGCAAATTAACTGCAAAGTGTTTAATATATAATATCATATAATATAATAAATATAATATAATATAATGAATAAACAACATATTGATAAATTACCTAGATTAATAAATTGTGTAGAAATTGTTTATGTTTTAACCAATACTTCAAGCAATTAAGATTAGTTATTGCATATATTAGTTATTTTCATTATAATGAAAAAAAAACAAATACATACATACATATCACACACAAGCACACACACACACACACACACACACACACAGTATATGCAAAACAGAAGCATTTTGACTAGTAGTCTCAGACTTCTGGAACCCATCTGTGTTAAGACACTATGATCTACTGATCTAGATGGTAAGAGTATAGCGAGCCTCACCAAAACTCTCCATCATCCTGAACAGTGACGCCCAGTTTCTCTCTCTCACTCTTGCTCACTTTCTTCCACTCTTCTGAGCTACAAAACAGAGCAGTGATTACTCATCGTACACCAGACTGAGAGAAATAAACATTCACACACGACACACACGACTATACTCACTGACAACAGCCTGCGTCCAATAACCATCAACTAAGATTTCCTAGAATTTTGTGAAAGAAATAGAGCACTTAACCAAGTATTTCTAATCAAGCCCAGAATAAATAATTCATCAAGCAGAAATATGAAGAAAGATTGCTTTCACCTCAATAAGAGTCTTCTGGCTGGCCAGTAAATTATTCAGAGGCAAATATAACCCTGTCTGTTGTAGCACTTGAACAAAGACTGATGGATTTTCAAGATTTTCCTCTCTGCAATTACACAGTCCCATTTTAATAGTATGTTGCTACCTGCAGTGGTGGATATTTAGGGTAGGTGTCATCAAACAAGAGCAGTTATTTAAATGAAAGGAGGTGGATGTCTTCTTAACACCCTCAGACCTCTGCGTTTCAATCACAGCAGCTTCCTATTTTATACCAGCCTGCCTGGCTTGATATCTCAATTTCACACCAGTCAACGATAAGAATAGACACTTCGGCTATGTGTTATTTATACTGAAATCATCTCAAGAGGAAGGAGAGAAATGTTTTTCTCTAGTCTCTGAGGATGTATAGCACTACACTGCAGGACGCTAGAGAAGGCAAAAGGACAAATCATTTCTGTATGTGCTTTCACTCTGTTTTTGTAGAGATTGTAAAGAATTGAGTGTTGGGAAGATGTGCAAAAATGTCTGATCACAACGCCACGTCGTAATATAGCAAGTGCTTCAACACATTGAATTTTGGTGCTCATTTGGAAATTTGGGTTTGAGTCTGGCTTGCAACTAGGTCTTACTTTCACACTGTCAGTCCAAATCCGATTATTGTGTATCGGATTCTAAATGACTGACTGTCCACACTGTGTATCGCAACGGTTCAGATCCCAGATGGGTTCAGATGGGTGTGTCCCTCTTTCATTTTCTGGAATATCTGCATTGGTTTCTATGTCAATGAAGTTGCATTTCTATGCCTACACCAAAAATGTGGCTTTATTCCATGCTGCCATCTCCACCAGTCTCAAAATTTAAAGAGGTGTGTAAACTGTGCCGACTAGTAGTGCTGTGTTCAAAATATCGATACGACGATGTATCGTCACAGAGATTTGACGATACGAGTATCGATACAGCTGGCCCTGTATCGATATTGTGGCACGTGTGCAGCAGTGGACCACGCTTAATTTGTTTAAAATTTTACAATGTTTAAAACTGAGTAGAAAAGTGCGAGGTTTCTAAAAAAAGAATGAATAGAGCATATACAGGTGCATCTCAATAAATTAGAATGTCGTGGAAAAGTTCATTTATTTCAGT